GCGCTTCGATTTACGCCGCCGGGCTCGCGGCTTGGATAGATCACTCCTCCCTGCATCTGTCTCATCCTCCTCTGCCCTCGCTGATACGGAGCCCATGCAATTAGGAGGATTACGAATCTCCACGGCAGAACGCCAGCGCCGGATAACCGAACGCCTCTGTATGTACTGTGGATCTGCTTCTCACTTTCTGTCATCTTGTCCAGTAAAAGCCAGAGCTCACCAGTGAAAAGAGGGCTACTGGTGAGCGCTTCGACTTTAGTCCCTCCGCCATACCATCGCACTACTTTCCCGATACATCTTCACTGGCCGGGCTCGGCCGTCACCTGCTCTGCGCTCATTGACTCTGGGGCCGAGGGAAGTTTTGTCGACGAGACGTGGGCTCGCACTCAGGGGATTCCTCTTATTGATTTAAAGGATTCCACCCCGGTTTACGCTCTCGATGGTAGTATTCTCACCAGGGTACGCCGTTCCACGGTTCCGGTGAGCCTCACTGTCTCGGGTAATCATCGTGAGAATTTTTTTTTTTTAATTTTCACTCCCCTTTTACCCCCGTTGTTTTGGGACACCACTGGCTAGTCAAGCATAATCCTCAGATTAATTGGGTCAGAGGTTCCGTACTCTCTTGGAATTTACCTTGTCATGTAAATTGTTTAGTGTCTGCCTCTCCTCCTGTGTCTTCTGTTTCTGTGTTTCAGGAGGAGCCCGGTGATTTGTCTGGAGTTCCGGAGGAGTACCATGATCTGCGAGCGGTTTTCAGTTGTTCCCGGGCCACTTCTCTCCCTCCCCATCGTCCTTATGACTGCAGCATTAATCTTCTACCGGGGACCTCTCCTCCCCGGGGCAGATTATATTCTTTGTCGGCACCCGAACGTGAAGCCCTCGAGAAATATCTATCTGATTCGCTCGATGCTGGTACCATAGTTCCCTCATTCTCTCCTGCGGGGTCCGGTTTCTTCTTCGTTAAGAAGAAAGATGGTATGTTACGCCCCTGCATCGATTATCGTGGGTTGAATGACATCACAGTCAAGAATCGTTATCCCTTGCCTCTGATGTCATCCGCCTTCGAGATCCTGCAGGGGGCTAAGATCTTCACAAAGCTAGATCTACGTAATGCCTATCATCTTGTCCGCATTAAGGAGGGGGGTGAGTGGAAGACAGCTTTCAATACGCCTTTAGGGCACTTTGAATATCGCGTTCTTCCGTTCGGCCTGGTCAACGCTCCTGCCGTGTTTCAGGCCTTTGTCAACGATGTCCTTAGAGACATGTTAAACATCTTTGTTTTCGTTTACCTCGGCGACATTTTAATTTTTTCTCCCTCTCTCCAGATACATACGCAGCACGTTTGTCAGGTTATCCAGCGTCTTCTTGAGAATCGCTTATTTGTCAAGGCTGAGAAATGCATGTTTCACGCTTCATCCGTCACGTTCCTTGGTTCGGTCATCTCCTCCGAGGGGATTGCTATGGACCCTACCAAGGTTCGTGCCGTCACGGAATGGCCTGTTCCCGATTCCCGTGTCGCGCTCCAGCGGTTCCTGGGGTTCGCTAATTTTTATCGTCGTTTTATTCGGAACTTTAGCCAGGTCGCCGCCCCGTTCTCTGCTCTCACGTCTGCCAAGACTCATTTCTCTTGGTCGCATTCTGCTCAAATTGCCTTTGATCGGCTCAAGTCCCTGTTTACTACCGCTCCTATTCTCGTTACTCCTGACATCACCAGACAGTTTATCGTCGAGGTCGACGCTTCCGAGGTGGGCGTGGGAGGCATTCTCTCCCAACGTTCAGCGTCCGATGAGAAGGTCCATCCATGCGCCTTTTTTCCCATCGCTTGTCTCCCGCCGAGCGCAATTATGACGTCGGTAATCGCGAGCTTCTAGCCATCCGTTTGGCTCTCGGTGAGTGTCGTCATTGGTTAGAGGGTTCTTCAGTCCCATTTTTTGTATGGACAGATCATCGCAATTTGGAATACATTCGCTCAGCTAAGAGGCTCAGCGCGCGTCAAGCGCGCTGGGCACTCTTCTTCGCCCGATTCGATTTTACGATTTCCTATCGTCCCGGTTCCAAGAACCTCAAACCAGATGCCCTTTCGCAACAATTCACCTCCCCAGAAGCGGTTCCCACACAGGAGGTTATCCTTCCTCCGGCCTTAGTTGTTGGTTCGGCTGTCTGGGGAATTGAACGAGTCGTCAGACGCGCTCTTTCCCACGCTGTCACTCCTCGCCTTTGTCCTAGGGGTCTTTTATTTGTCCCTCCGGCCGCACGTCTCACTGTCCTTCAATGGGGGCATTCATATAAATTATTCGCCCATCCAGGCGTTAGAGGAACAGTCGCTTCCATTCGTCTAAGGTTCTGGTGGCCCACTCGTGAGTGCGACATTCGCCGTTTTGTTGCTTCTTGTTCTGTCTGCGCGCAGACCAAGTCTAGCAACATGCCTCCCGCTGGTTTGCTGCGACCCCTCCCTCTTCCGTCTAGACCATGGTCTCATCTCGCGCTAGACTTCATTGCAGGTCTTCCCCCGTCTGAGGGGAACACTGTTATACTCACTGTAGTCGACCGCTTTTCCAAATCCGCTCATTTCATTCCTCTCCCTAAGCTGCCCTCCGCCAAGGAGACTGCCCAAATTGTCGTTGACAAGGTATTCAAGATTCACGGTCTTCCGTCTGACATTGTCTCCGATAGGGGTCCTCAGTTCTCCTCCCTTTTTTGGAAGGAGTTTTGTTGACTAATCGGGGCCTCTGCCAGTCTGTTGTCCGGTTTTCATCCGCAGGCCAACGGCCAAGCCAAATGTACCAATCAGATCGTGGGTCGCATCCTACGCAGTCTCGCATTTCGTAATCCGGCTTCTTGGTCTGAACAGCTTCCCTAGGCAGAGTATGCCCATAACTCCGCTCCCTCCTCTCCTACCGGTTTATCTCCGTTCCAGTGTTGCCTTGGTTACCAGCCTCCGCTCTTTGCCTCGCAGGAGACTGATACCAACGTTCCCTCCGTCAAGGTTTTCATTCAACGTGCTAAGCGTACCTGGAGTAGGGTTAGGTCCGCCCTGTGTAAGACTCGTGTTCGCACTCGCAGGGCTGCCAATCGTTTGCGGGTAAGAAGTCCCCGTTATGTTGCCGGCCAGAGAGTTTGGTTGTCCACTCGCAATCTCCCGCTCCAATTTCCGTCGCGTAAGTTGGCTCCTAAATTTGTCGGGCCTTTTCGCATCCTTAAGGTGCACAGCCCTGTCGCTGTCAGATTAAGGTTGTCCTCCGATCTCCGTCGTATTCATCCTGTTTTTCATGTTTCATGTATAAAACCCGTTGTTCGTTCTCAGTCTTGTCCTGCCACCATTCCTGTCCGCGTCATGGACTCCCCCACTTATAGAGTCCGCAAGTTACTGGATGTGCGACCCCGCGGCCGTGGCCACCAGTTCCTGGTCGATTGGGAGGGATTCGGTCCTGAGGAGAGAAGTTGGATTCCGGCCCGGAACATCCTGGACCGCTCGCTGATTGATGACTTCTACCGTTCTCGCCAGTCCTCCTCGGGAGCGCCAGGAGGCGCTCCTTGAGAGGGGGGTACTGTCATGAATCAGGCTCCTTCCTCTATTTCTTTTCTTTCTCTCTTACTCCCTCTCCTGGTCTTTTTTCGCCATTCACCCTTTCCCATTTTCTCTCCTCTCGCTCAGCTGTTCCATATCTCATTATCTCGTTAACGCTCACACCTGTTCTCTCTTCCTTCTGATTTCTCGCCCTATTTCTTCTCTCTCTTTTCTTTTGTTCCCCGCCAGAGTATTATCTGATGTGTGTTACGTACCTGATGTGTCTCTATCGTTCTCCAGTCCTGTCGTGTTCAGTGTGGTATGTGCTGTCTCCTGATTATTATCATTGATCATCATCTGCTTGCCCTGTCTCTGGCTGTCGGGTCCGACTGTTGTCTGAAGCCGTTCATCTGCTACCCGGACGCTTCTCCGCATCCTCCGGGATTTTCCTGAGCCATACGTGCCGACACTCTTCAGTTGTCATTTTTCTAAGAAGCTTTCTGTTTGAACTGTTTTGCCAGTCGGCACCTGTTGCCTGATTTTTTGCCAAGCGGCCCTTCTGAGTTATTAAAGAGACATTTAATCTGCCTTTGCGTTTGGGTTCTCTCTCTCCTCACTCGTTATGACACATAGGGTCTTTGTTTTGTCTCATAAATGCACCCATCATATTTGCATTAGTTTCCACTGGATTGTGAATTTCATATTAATGTTCAAATATGAAAGAAAACAAAGCAAAAACATTAATAAAACATGAAATAAATAACAGAACAAGCACAGAGAACACATTTAAGGGTGTACCGTATTACAGATCTCAGTATGCTAATAAATCAACAATCGGAAGGAAGGAAGGAAGGAAGGAAGGAAGGAAGGAAGGAAGGAAGGAAGGAAGGAAGGAAGGAAGGAAGGAAGGAAGGAAGGAAGGAAGGGCATTGATTATAACTAGAAACAGACAGCTGCAGAAAATATGTAACCTTCAAATACTTTGGCTATTGTATTTTGTTACAGGCAGCGCACTATAACTCACTGTAAAACTGTTGTGTTGCATATATTACTTGTTAAGGTTGTCATGATTGTGTCTCAGTGCTCCATGTCTATCCTCAACACACAAGCTAATCTAAATTTAGATCTAGATGTCATCAACTAAGTAGGTGTCGTCTTTTAGAGTTTTACTCTATCAAACCCTATATAAATGTCTGTTCACAGCACACTTCATCATTTGGCTCATGCAGGTAAAGTTACACCTGATATGACCAGGACTCAAGGACAGAGTCAAGAATACTTTCAGTAAATGGTATAGCAAGGTTATGTAACATTGATACAACATTGTTGTAAACTGAACACTTATTCAGTCTTTGTTTTTCAAGTCAACATGGAGCTTATTTAGAATTTACATATACATTGTTTATTCTAAAGCAATGATTATTTATTTCTCACATATTTTATGTATTATTGTAAATGTGCTTTTGTTGTCTGTCTAATTTTCTCCCAGATGTGCGCACAATGGCCAGTCAGAATGCCAGTGGCGATGAGCAGATACAACTTATCCAAGTTGACCCCGTCCGGAGAAAAGTTTCACTGGCGCTGACCCAGATCTTTGTGTTGCCCTTCATCTACCTCATCTTCCTCATGCTCTTAATATTCTCCAAGAAAGAGACTTTCAGAACAGAAACACGCTATATATTGTTTGGTCACTCTCTCCTGGTAGACCTAATATTTCTTTGTCTGACAGATTTTATTGTGCTCTTATCATACAACTTTGTTTTAATACCGCTGCATTTCTGTATCCCCATCTGCATGTTAACGGAAGCAATTGCAGTAAGTGCACCGTTAACCATCGGTGCCATGTGCGTGGAGCGCTATGTGGCCATTTGCATGCCTCTCCGACATCATGCGATCTCCACCTCTAGAAGAGCCATAATGGTGATTTTAATGATCTGGATCCTGAGCTCCATAACCCCCTTTGTTGATATGTTCATTCTTGTCAGCACTGCCTCTCGCGAATACTTGTCTCAACTCACACACTGTCACTATGAGATTATGATTCCGGAAAAGATTCATCACTTTGCTAGGGGTCTGTTGTACATTGTGGGGCTTGTGGTTATTTTAATCATTGAAATCTTTTGTTATATAATGATATACCTTGCTGCACGTGCAGCATCTGGTGACAAGTCAGCATCAAAAGGGCAGCGCACCATTTCCCTGCACATAATTCAGCTGTTTTTATGTACTGCTGAGGTGATGTGCCCTTACATTGAGAGTGTAGTTATGCAGTATGATATTCAAATATATCTGACTGTCCGATTTATAAATTTCCTTACATTTAGTATCACTTCTAGAGCTGTAAGTCCTCTCGTCTATGGGTTTAGAGATGAGAAATTCTATGCAGCAATGGCTTATTATATCAGATACAAAAACAATATTATCTCATCTGACACTGATAAACAAACATGATATTTTTAAAGGTTAAAGAGTGTTTCTGGGATTTTTATCTTGTCTAAATTCCTTGTCTTGTCTGTCTCAAAACTCTAAACATCCCATTCTAGTTGATATATTCTAATAATGAAGATTGAGAGTTTTAAATTGTCTGGCCAACTGCAAGATTTGTCTTGGGAAGAGGCCTCTCACAAGTGCACGTGACTGCTTGAATAATCTCTTGAAAATAACTTACAAAATTATGAGAATTTAGAGAGTATTTTATTTAGTGTATCACATAGCTGATTACAATGTTAGCATTACTTGTTACACTTTCAAATATTTTATGTATATTGTTTTAAGTTTTAGTCATTTATCTGAACATAATAATTTAATTTAATTATTAACAATTAAATGTTTTAATGTTTTATTTTAAATTTGCATTAGATACAAATTCACAAATAGATCCACTTTTGTATTGAACAATTTATATGTAATTGCAGACTATTTGAGATCAGTATACACATTTAATGAGATTATTCATAAATTATTATTGTTCATTTTGGCATCTAATAAATATTTCTGTATCTAATATTTCTGTTTCATTTCACATGTTAGAAAAGAACAGTTCAGCATCACTGACTTGTGAATATATCGTACTATTATAGTAAAAGTGAATTAATCTAGCATTTGCATTTGATATATAATTCTTTTTTCTCTTTCTGAAGACTCCTAATGTCTTTCATCTGTAATACATCTGTAATAATAACATTTACTAAACAAACATGCAAAGGCCAGTAAGTGTGATACTCAATACACTTTCAAATTTTTTGTGAAACTTTCTATTTGATACTTCTAAGGGAAAACAATTATAATCTGTATTTTTTTTCACAATGTGTTCATTTGTTTGAAAAATAAATTGGATCAAATTCCATTATTTAAATACATATGCAGCATTATGGTTCTCTAACATTTAATGAAATACAGTCTATGAAAAATGTATGCCAGGACCAGGGTTGAGAACCACTGCCTTATGTGGCCTTTTCAAAGTGTCATTTTGTGATTTATGGCCCCCAAGCTCTAAACCCTTTGGTTTATGTCTTTTTTCGCCTCTGTAACGGGTTCGTTGTTGTGGGAAGAAGGAGGCTGGAACCGGCGAACATTTAAAGACTTTAATAATAAAATAAATCAACAACAAAATGAAAGTATAAGCCAGCAGCCCCTCACGGATGACTGCTGGCCACACAAAACAGAAACAAAACATCACATAAAATCAGGCCTGTTCCTCTCTCGATCTCCACTGTCATCGCTCCTCCTTTTATGCTTCCGCTCCTCCATGAGAGATACGAGACCGGTGCGTCGTGCAGGTGTCGCACATTAGTAACCACGCCACCAGCCTTGCGCCGTCCTCCCACGGCCCTCGACCTCGTCCTGCTCGCCACACCCTCATTACTACTTTTTCACAGGAACTTGTTGAACTTTCTTGAAATGTTTTATCACTCGTGTAAATAGGGATTAAAGGCATTGTTATGTCGAATGTAATTCAGGATAAGGAAGGAAGAGGACAGGGCTTTACTGGGGCTCATGCTTTATTCGCTTTCAAATGGTCAAAACAAAAGTCACGCTTATGGCGCTTCAAAAAAACTGAGTCCAAATACACAATCAATGATGCGCCTCTCCAGAGCATTCAGCGCATACACAGGCACGAGTCCTCAGTCCATCTCTCTCTGATCAGCTCCCTGTTTCCCAGGCTTATATCCGGTATCTCCACGCTAATTGCTGCAACAAGACACAGGTGTTTGTCATCTTGCACTTGACCTACTTACTCATCGCTTCGTCTCCAGACTCTCTCTCCCAATGCAGACCTCGCTGATCTACTCCCCCCTAGCCACATACTCCCACCGCCTGACTCAGGCCGGGGAGCGAACTGATCGCCAAGCATCACAGCATTCACCTTGTATCGTACAGAGCCGCCCGTTTTAGGCACTAAAACTATCGGGCTCGCCTAATTGCTGTCGGATTATTTTGTTACCCCCATGTCTAGCATCGCCTCTAATTCAGTCTGAACCACCTTTTTTGTGTTCACGTAAACGAAACAGCCGGCTGCGCACCACCACGCCCGGCTCTGTCTCAATATGGTACTGAATGAGATCCGTTTCTACCAGGCAGGGGCGAGAACACGTCTGCAAATTCTGCTTGCAAACTGGCTACATCAATGAGCTGCGATGGCGAGAGGTGATCTCCTCCTGGGGCCAGAGTGAGAGATTGGACTCACTTCTGGCCCAAGATCTTCCCTGCTCACTGCCCTTGCTTACATCACTGACTCCGCCTCACTCAATTTTTTTGAGGAGGTTGAGGTGATATATCTGACGTGTCCCGCTCCTGTCCATTTGAACCACTTATCCTTGCCACTTAGCGAGTCATTTAGAACTAGACATAGGAAGCAATACAAGTACTTTATCTCCCGGTGAAAATTCACGTTGTCTAGTTCCCCTGTTGTACAACCTGCTCTCTTTGTCCTGGGCCAGTAACAAATTCTCCATAGAGAGCCACCCAAAAGTGTTTTGTTCTCAGAGTTTTGAGTTTGTTCTCTAGAGTTTTGTTCTCAGGTCCAGCTCTCAGGTCCAGCACATACTGAATTTCGTTTCGGCTATCTGAAGATCCGTCGTCCCTCAGGACAAAGTTTCAAAGTTTTTCTCAGGATGTCCAACACCCCACTGACATCCATAAAGAAGCTTGAAGGGGGAAAATGGATCGTTCTAATGGCCTGGTGAGGTCCATATCAATTATTTCGAAGGGGACCTGCATTAGAGGAAGAGGAAGTGGTGCTTTTGGGGAGGCCGTTGGATTCACCAACTGACATTCACGACAAGCTGTGCACCATCTGCGCACATTCTCGTGAATGCCCGGTCAAAAGAATCGGGTCATGAGACGTTTTAGTGTCGTTACTTGTCCTAAATGTCCTGCTATAGGATTACAGTGAGCCGCCTGGAAAAACCTTTCCTGGCAGCTTTTTCGTACTAATAATTGGGTTGTATATTGTTTTATCTCAGTATCTTGGGTAATGTAGGGTGGTTTTCACAATGGTATATGTAAAGTGAAGGCAGAGGAATGCAGGAAGACACAAGCATTTAAGTGCAGCTTTTAATAGACAAAACTAAAACAAGGAACCAGGATATAAGGTATAACAAGTGACCAAGAACTGTTGTGCAGGTAAGTGAGGACCCAAAAGCGATTTAACAAAAACAGAGTCTTTAATGTCAACACAGGGAAGCAACAGTGAAGAACACAGATCTTCTTCTTGAGTGGTAATGGCAAAACAAACAACCCGCAGAGAGGCCAATAAAAAGAAACACAAATGTCTTTCAGATAACTTCAAAGAGAAGCCTTTAGGCAGCAGTGGAGAATAGCTGGGTTAGCAGCGACAGGCTGCAGGTCTCTCAGGGTAGACGCGGGTCGAAGAGAGACAGTGGTTACCTGATCTCTCGCAGCATCAGATGAACTGGACAGAATACAAATATCAAGACGATTAGCTGAGAACAGATAGCACTTGCCAGGCGGACAGGACAGGACAAGGTTGAGACAAACGAGACAGTAGTTTGCTTCTGGCATGAGAAACTCTAATGAGAATCTGACAAAGAAAGAAGCAAGAGCAGAGAGGGAAGTAGAGACCTAATCAGAGGGGAAAGGGAACAGGTAGGAAGAGAGTCAACGAGGTAGTTAGATGAGATGAGGAACAGCTGGAGAAAGAGAGAAAGAGAAAGTAACCTGTTAAGACCAGCAGGGGGCGACAGAGTAAAGAGAAAGAACAGGAACAAGACATAACATGACATAACATGACAAGACATGACAGTACCCCCCCCCCCCCCCCCTTTGCTCCCGAGGAGGAAACCTGGCGGCTACGGAGGAAATCATCAATCAGCGAACGGTCCAGCACGTCCCGAGAGGGGACCCAACTTCTCTCCTCAGGTCCGTACCCCTCCCAATCCACCAGAAACTGATGACCACGGCCCCGAGGACGCATGTCAAGAATCTTGCGGAATTCGGATACGGAACGGACCAATGAACTTTTCAATTTACGGTCAATTTACGAGAAGCAGTCTTAAGGGGAAGGTTTAGAGTGGAGAGCCATACTTTCTGACCACGACAATATCTAGGGTTCTTAGTTCTACGCTTGTTAGCGGCTCTCATAGTCTGATCCCTATAACGGCAAAGAGCAGACCTGACATCCTTCCAGGTGCGCTCACAACGTTGGACAAAAGCCTGAGCGGAGGGAACGCAGGACTCGGCGAGCTGAGACGAGAACAGCGGAGCTTGGTACCCGAGGCTACTCTGAAGATAGACCGGTCGCAGACGAAGGAAGCGAGTTGTGGGCGTATTCTGCCCAGGGGAGCTGCTCTGACCAGGACGCAGGGTTACGGAAAAAAGGCTGCATAAGATGCGACCAACAGTCTGATTGGCCCGTTCGGCTTGACCGTTAGATTGAGGGTGGAAGCCGGACGAGAGACTGACGGAAGCCCCAATCAAACGACAAAATTCCCTCCAAAATTGAGACGTGAACTGCGGACCCCTGTCCAAAACGATGTCTGACGGAAGGCCATGAATTCTGAAAACATTTTCGATGATTATTTGTGCCGTCTCTTTAGCAGAAGGGAGCTTAGCGAGGGGAATAAAATGAGCCGCCTTAGAGAACCGATCAATAACCGTAAGAATAACTGTCTTGCCCGCCGACGAAGGAAGTCCGGTGATAAAATCTAAGGCGATGTGTAACCACAGTCGAGAGGGAATAGGAAGCGGTCTGAGAAGGCCGGCAGGGGGGGAGTTCCCGGACTTAGTCTGCGCGCAGACAGAACAAGCATCCACGAAACGATGCGTGTCACGTTCCCGAGTGGGCCACCAAAAACGCTGACGGATGGAAGCAAGCGTACCCCGAACGCCGGGATGGCTAGCTAACTTGGCAGAGTGAGCCCACTGAAGAACGGCCAGACGAGTCGGAACGGGAACGAAAAGAAGGTTCTTAGGACAAGCGCGCGATGACG